ATACCCGTGTGCATGCACACGCATACATGCTCGCACACACACTCACATGTAAACTCCGAACACACCTGCCACTTTTACACGTTCCCTTTTCATATCCGCTCCCCGTGAGCATTCACATACATATTAATCTAGAAGCATGCACAGGGCCGGGGGGGTCCGGAGCAGGTATAGACCCCCTTTAAAAGCACAAGCTGCCTGATTTCATTCGCTGCAGGGGCTGCTGGGAAACGCTGGGCTGAGGGGGCGCGGGCACAGGATGGAGTGTGCTTTCATAAGATAGGAAATGAATAAATAAGTGCCGGTGGAGGGGGGCAAATACTCAAATAAAGTCCAATAAAAGAGCTCAGAGAACATCTGTGTGGGATCGCCGTGGGGATTAGGAGGGTTTGGAACATTTTAAGCGCATTACGGATTAAAAAAAAAGGTCAGAATGTTTAGCAACATACCGATAAACCTCTTAAGCAAAACCCAATTGGAAAAGCTGTGCTGCCTCTTCATTCTGTACCGTGTGTGTATGTGTGCATATGTGTGTGTACCTAGGGTGTGGAGGCGTGTGCATTGGGTTTTTGTTTTTTTGAGGGAAATGCATTGCACATTTTCATGCGGTATACATTTTCCATGTATTTGTCATCATAAGCCGTGACGTTTGAATCCAGGGGATCTAACATGTCTCTCCAACTAAAACACACACACACTGAGAAAGAGAGAGAAGTAATGTTTTCTCTTTAGGGTAAAGATAGATTTGGACTCATTTCACTTGAAGTTAAGTCAAAATTGACCTTATTTTACTTATGGACTTTTTGTGCACACACTTTTTTTTGTGTGTTCAAAAGTTTGGGGTCAGATTATAAGTAATCTGTCATCTAAACGTAATCAGTTCAGATGAGTTCAGTTACTAAAACAACTTTGCTTTCCAGTTGATGTCGTGTTTTTTTATGTTGCGAGGAGTTAAATTGAACTTTAAAACCCTTATAAAGAAACAAATTGTTGATTATAAAGTTGTAGTACTTTATAATTATATTTGCTAAGTAGTATTCAATAAACGAGCGTGTTTAGTTGGGAAGCGCTTAGGATGCCGTGCAGATTTATAGCGTTGATGCTTTTGGTGTTTTGCGTGATTATTGAGTGCTTAAAGTAACATTACAGATGGCACAGGTTGAGTTATGTGTCAAAGTAGGGGGTTTTAGTTCACTAACACAAACTTTGAGAAATAAAGGGATGCCTTTGCGAAAACATTTCGAAGATCCTATGGCTTAGTTTACCTCTACAAAAGGCAGAACACACAAAAATGGTGAATATAATGACAAATATGTCTTTGCTCACTCAAGCTCAGTCGTTTATGAATATCTGCATGCTAAATGAATCAATTAGACGTCGTCTTGTAAGAAATGGGTGTGTGTGTGATCAGCACTTGCTGTTTAGGGATGGTAATAGTTTTAAATACCCTGTCAAACAATCGTTTTCAATTTTAAACTTACTGAAGAAGTGCTTTTCCATTGTAAAGACACTTTTGTAATGTTAAAACCCCATTGCTTGCCACTGTGTGTGTGTGTGTGTGTGTGTCGCGCAGTATCTTTGGCATGGTGTGTTCAGGGGTCCTTTGACTGTGTGTGCTGGGAAGATAAGGATTAGCATGAACATTGTTGGATGCAGTAGAATGTGTGTGTGTGTGTGTGTGTGTGTGGTTGCAGGCTGATAACAGTGTTGATTGGACTCCATAGGCTGGAGTCTGTGCTCTAATAATGGACAGTCTCTCCTTTGTGTGTTTGAGTTTTGATGATCTGGCCCCCTGCTCATCCACGCTTTGTCTGTGCCCAATAGCGCGGCCTCTCTCATTCACTGGCGTCCAGTTCTGCATAGTGAGCTTCACTAATGTGCCATGTAATTGGATTGGAGGTCATCCGAGACATCTCCTTAAGCAACGCTCATACTTCCACACCACCAGAGGGCGCCAATCAATGCGTAATATAGCTGTTCTGAGGTCACACAATCCATTGGTAGCCATTATTTTGTTATGTCAAAATTTGCCCTCTGTACCCTCATTCACTATTGGCTACATTACTCCTCTAATATAGTCCATTTGAAAGACTGAGTGTGTGCCGCCTTTGTATACATCATTTGAAACTTGGCAAACTGGCAGCTCCAGTAGTAATGAAAGGATTTATCTTGAACTGTCATGGAAACTATTATTACATTTAATAATCAAGTAAAAGGTAATTAATACCTGTATAATATTACGCTGTAGACACTTTGGAAAATGGATGAATGGATGATGCAGACACCATCTTCTAGATCTATTTTAGATGTGGGATTTAATTTGGCATGACCCTCAAACTGTTTCAAACAGTGCATTATGGGTATTCTCTTGCCATTGAGTGTACATCAGTTGTACACATTATTGTGGGATAGACTAAGTGCACTCGATAACGTCGGGAACACCACTACAAATGTCTGTCCCCTCAAATAGTGCCCCTTTTTAAGGGTATATGGATCGATTTCAGACACAGCCAATGATTTTGATTTATAATCCAATTTACTATATAGAATGCAATTATCAGAGCTGCACATGCCAGATCACAGCACTTTTATAGCACTTAAATTAAATAAAATATTAAAATACTTGCATATTTTATTTCTACTAGGCGGCAAGGCAACATTTCTCATTCTAAAAATAAAAGCGAATTCAAAATATGAATAAAAACTATAATAGTGCCCTATTAATACATTTTTATTTATTTATTAGGGATTATTAGGAGTTACGTTTTTGTTTTTTTTGTTTTTGTTTTTTTAGGGGGACTCCCACTGTACATCATGCTACCCCAAAAGTAGTTTTTGTCAGCATTTTTATAATATATAACATTTAAAATGAGATTGTATGAGTAAATTAAAGGGCTTTACATCCAGTTGGGTCGGCCAGAGCACCTTTACTGACGTTTCAGCTCCCGGAATCAGCATCTGCGAACAAAAAGCGATATTTTTCCCCGTCAATTAGCATTTAGCACAAGTAGCTGAAAATAACCTTCATTTGCAAGCCTTTTAGCGTATAGTGTGTTGGATGAGAGTTTTCCTCTCTGTGAGAGGAGTGTGTGTCTGTGTGTGGGTGCTTTTGTAAGCTAGCTGGAATGCTCTGGTACCGCCAATGCTAAGATGGCTGCCAAGCGCTAAGATGGCTGCCAGGATTCCATACAACAACAGCAGCAGCAGCAGCAGCAGCAGCAGCAAGCGAACGAGGGGTGCGAGAGAGAGAAAAGAAGGAAAGAGGGGGCTGACGCGTTTGTTTTTTCCTTCGAAACGTATAGTGTTGTTTTTTTAGACCACATTCTGTTGATGCACGTAATTAGTGGTGCATGCTAAGGCTAAACACCACTACTGCTGTTTATCATACTTTGAACAAATTCAAGCCATATTTTGAGACCAGAGTATTACAGAGGGGGAGTTTTGACTTTGGCTAGTAGTAGTAAGCGAGCACCCAGAACCCTGCTAGCAATTAGCAAACATGCTAAAAACACTTAAATAAGTATGATTGGCTGAAAAGGTGACACATTTTTCAATACTCAGCAGAGACACGGAAAGGCCAAAGTGACGTCCTCGGCTCTATAGTTTCAAAACCACGGTGCATATATATAAAAAAAAGGGGGGTTAGCGAGTCTTGGCCAACTCAAACAGCCGCAGGGGTCTGGTCGCTCTCCAAGATCACTATACTTTCTAAGATAAAAAGCCTTTGGAGACATTGTCCAAACAACTCGATGGCTGCACACCAGCCTTTGTCTACATCTTATGAGCTATACGGCAGAGTTGGGTTTCACCAGGCTGCTCTCGGATGTATATTTTGCAGATTTATATTTCAGATTAGCAGTGCAACTTAAAGCCTAAAATGGACTGGCCTAAAGTGTGTGTCGCTGTGTTTTTACTCGCTAGAAGACAAAAAAAAACAAAAAAAAAAAACAATAAATGTAGACCCGGCTGACCAAGTCCTGAAGTGTTTTTTTTTTAACACACCTGGGGTCTGTGTTGCCGGGCTAAAGATTTTGTTTCATGGTCGAAAGACTGTGTAGTGGTTTTATGACTTCATTTTAATTATTATTATGTTGAAATAATAATAATATTTATTGACCTAGGCAGAATTTGATTCTGAAAGCAATGCAATTTGAGGTATTATAAAGTACTTTGCAGGTTTGTTTACTCACCAATCCAAAGTATGAGCAATAGTAACTGTAACGTGGCAAACCTACACTAATTTTCAAAAGTTTGCTGTCAGAAAGATTTCTTTTTTTTTTTTTTTTTTTTTTAGAAATTGGACACATTAAATTGATCATAAGTGTCATTAAAGGCATTTATAATGTTACAAAAAATTCAATTTCAAGTAAATGTTCTTTTGAACTTTCTATTCAGCAAAGAATGCATTACAGTTTTCCCAAAATATTAAGCAGCACAACTGTTTTCAACATTGATAATATACATTATTGAGCATCAAATCATCATATCATGATTTCTGAAGGATCATGTGACGCTGAAGACTGTGAAAATCCAGCTTTCATCACAGGAATACATTACATTTTACTAAATGTTCACATAGAAAACAATTATTTTGAATTGTAATAATATTTCGCAATATTGCAGCTTTTGCTGTATTTATGACCAAATAAACATGATGACTTTCAGAAACATCACACCGACCACAAACTTGTGAACGATAGTTTATGAAAAGTCAAATTCCAACTAACAAGACAGAACATCCGATTTCATGCATAAAGGTCCAAAAAAAATTCCTGAATATCATGTAAATGATCCAGAACCGGAGCACATTTTGCATGTCTCATTTCCAGCTGCGTCGCCTCAGCGCTACATTGAATGTGTGTTGGCAGAGAATATTCCGAATGTTCTACATCTGCTAATTGATTCAGGCACCTTTGGACTGAACCCAGACGTCCCATGTTTAATCTGCTCTCTTTTTTTCCCTCCCTCCTTCCCCTCTCTCTCTCTTTCTGTCGGCTTTGCAGAATCTGGACAATCGGATAACTCCAACCAACAAGGAGAAGCAGACATCAAGCCTCCGCCCAATGGTGTGTCAAGCACGACGAAAATCTCTCACACACACACACACACACAGAGAGAGAGAGAATCTAAAGGTTCTCCTAACGGGTTTCCAACGGATTTTACATTCTTATGCCCGAAGACACAGAAATTAAAGCATTACCTGCATTTAATTAAAACTTCACTTAAATGTGCCTGGAAGAACCAAAAATGGGTTCTTGGTTCCGCTGCAAGAACCGTTAGTTGAAACATTCTTAAAAGAACCGCACTAAAGAAACATGCTCATTTCATTTAGTCAGACAAATCTATTTTATAGGTTGATTGAACTATATTATGATACATATTTGTTATTTGTATTTGTATTTTGTTATTGTTATGATGTATAGAAGTAACTCTTATTAACCTTGATAATTTGGCTAAACAAAGTGAAATACAAGTTAAACAAACTAATAAAGTTCTGCTTTGCTTAAAAAGCTTGAACTTGGATCCACAAGTCAAATCCTATGTAGTGAGCTTGTTGAACTTACTATATAATGTTGGTTAAAATAGCAGACTGGCTTTAAATAAGTTGATAAAAAACATTTCCTATAAGTTGAGAATGCTCAAATTCCTGATTTTTGTTTTTACAGTGTATTTTTCTATTGATTTTAATAATCTAAAGAAACTTTTCCACTGTAAGGAAGCTTTTCTCCGATCGAAAAGTTCTTCATGAAACCATAATGGAAATGAAGAAGCTTTAATTTCTTCATCAAACCAAAAAGTTCATGATACCATAATGGAAATGAAGAACCTTTCGTTTCAGGAGTTCTGATGTCTTTCCAAACTCATGACTGACTTCCGTGGGACACAAAAGGAGATGTTTGGTGGAAGGGGTCTCATTGCCCACTTCCATTAAAATTAGTGTCAACGTTCTGCTAAAGTTCAACTTTTTGCTCAAGTAAGATAGAAAGTTATACAGGTTTGAAACTGATTAAATACTACTGGATTTTATTTTTATTTTAGATGTGCTATTCCTTTAAAAACTCCACAAATATCTTTTAATTCTCTTCTAGCTCTTTAGAAAAGCATCCAGAGTTTTAAAGCTCCCAGGAACCATAAACACTAATCTGAAGAACCTAAAATGAAACATCAAGAACTATGAAATGAACTCTAGATGGTACACTTTGAAAAATATACTGTAGCTTCTTTCTTGACAGTAAAAAAAAAAATATTTTCATGATTTGTAATCACATTTTTTCTTTTGTCAAATCAACTTAAATAATTTACGTAGTTCAGATAAAATAATATTTTAAGTTTCTGATGATAAAATCAATCTCCTCCATTGTATTAACTCAATTTTTCCATTTCAATGAACTTAAAATTTTAAGGCAACCATTTTTTAAGTTAAACCAACTATATTTTTTTACCGTGTGGAACCTAATCGAACCACTTTCTGCAAAGGAGGTTCTATTAGGTTCTATGTGGAACCATAATGAAGATTAAAAAAAAAAGTCTTTTATAGTTCTTTGTAGTCCTTTAGATTATTAAAACGTTCGATACACTAAAAAAACAGTTCTTTTACAGTCTGTTCACTGAATGGTTCTTCATATTAACCCCTTATTCATTCACCCCAAAAAAATGGTTCTTCTAGAGTATTCTGTCGTAACATTAAATTTCTTAAATAAATTGAAAAAACCTGATTGTTCAAGAAGCAGTTAGCTTGAATGTTGTCTGATTGATTCAGATGGATCTGTGGGTGAGCAGCTCTCCATAGACGTGCAAATAGGGGGCGGTTGATACCGTACGGTTAGCAAAGTCACATGCACACCATGACTTAAACTGCGATCTCTGTCGGAGTTTATTATAGTACAGTGTTGCTATGTAGGCTGTGACGGAGAATGGTGAAACGCTCATAAATCAGCCCGTGATTGGCTGATGGGAACCACATGGCTGTGGCGCGGGCGACCTCGCTGTGGTTAACCGGCACACACACATACACACACACACACACGCTGACCTCAGCCAGCACTACAGATGGGTGTGGAAGCATGGCTCATTCGCCCGTTTTGCCCACACACACAAAAGTACATATTGAAATCCCATATGCACAGCGAAAGCAAATACGTTTGTATATTTGTATGCAGCGTCACACACACGCACACACACACATACACTCTTGAGTGTGACATAAAGCATTTTTAGTGTCCTCATTAAGCTTTAGCTGAGATTGGAGCGCTGGGTTGGAGTTTAACCATAAGTACAGGGTAGCCTGTTATTCCTTCGAGATGGAGAACATGTGCCAGCCGATGACTGTAATTATATGCTCCCGGCCTTTTTATGACAATTGAGCCGTGTTTATTTTGTGTGTGCGTGTGTTTGACAGGTGCAGATGAGTAAATATGGGTTTTTTTTCCCCCAGTGTGATTTGTTGCTGTAGTGTGTTTTCATTTCTCTCTCTCTCCAGGGCACTTGAGTTTCCAGGACTGCTTCGTGACGTCAGGCGTGTGGAACGTGGCGGAGCTGGTCCGTGTGTCACAGAGTAAGTCAGCTCTCTGATTAACTGCCGCCATCATCAATAAAATAAATATCAACCTCTCATTGGAACTTTAAAGGCTGTTTTATAATTGTAAATACTTAAAAAATCATAATGCAAAAATTTCAAATATATACACTCATAGATTACAGACTAAAGTAAGATATTTTTTTCCGAGGTAGGATTCTATGTTAGTGTTTTGTAAAATGTAATGTATTCCTGTGTTGAAAGCTGAATTTTCAGCATCATTACTCCAGTCTTCAATGTCACATGATCCTTCAGAAAGCACTCTAATATGATGATATGATGCTCAAGAATCCGATGCTCTTATTATTATCAATGTTGAGAACGGTTTTGCTGCTTAAAAGCTTTATGGAAAAACACTGACCATTTGAGTAGAACAGCAGTTGTTTGAAACTGGTAACGTTTTCATAGAGTAGACTCGCGTCACTGGAGAAGCATGTCATGAGAACAGTGATGAATTATGGGATTGATTTATCTGACTTCTCTCTGTCTGGATCTAATGCAGCACCAGTGGCCACAGCATCCGGACCCAACTTCTCTCTGGCCGACCTTGACAGTCCTGGATACTACAACATCAACCTGGGTCGCCGCTCCATTACGTCCACGCCATCCACCAGGTGCGCACGCACGCACACCCACAGGCAAACACATTTTCCTATGCCATGTGTTTTACATTTTTGGGTGCCAAATAAAAGGGGGTTCCCTTTTTGCTGGAGACCACCACGCTAAAATTTTAAAAGTTAACATTTTTAATGTGTGTTTATGTGCTTTTTTTTATTTAAGGCGAGACACGGCAGGCAAAAACATTTTTTCATTGGTCAATTTTGAGGTTTTGGGCTATTTGTATTCAATAACATGTCATGTTTCAGATTTGTGCTGAGAAAAAGTCCAAAATATACATTTACATCTTTATTTTGTCAAATCTTTGTTTGATTTCGCCTAAATTCCTCAAAAGTTGGCATTCTAAATCATCGCGATGCGCACCCTGACACAGCGCTCTCTCTCCTCTTCAATGCTGTCGGATCCAATATGGCCATTTCCTGTTTATCAGCAACCAATCGTGAAAGTAAAATGGACCATTTAACTCAAAATGCACAATCCCGTAAAAAATTTTAAAGGCCGTTTTCTCAAAATGAGTTTTTTCTCACACTTCTTGTTACGATTTTCCACTTGTGTAGCACCTACATACACCAAACTTAACCGTATTTCTAACTATATTGTGAAGGTTTGTTCAGAGGGATTTGTTGATATATCATTCTTGGCCTGATTTATATGACATTTTATGCCTAAAAATAGGGCAGAAATCTATTTTTTAAGGCTATTGGCAGTATGTTCTGATTTACAGGGTAACAAAAGGAGATATTCATAATCCCCTCTGAAAATGTCTTTTCATTGAATATAATAACAAAATGCAAACATCATTTTGAACCTTGTTTTTTTTCAATGGTCAGATTCAAAATATTGACTTCAAAATATATGCAAATTAGCACGTATTTAATTAGATTATTTTTGGTATATATGCAAATATTTGAAATTGGCCCAATAAATATACTTTAGTTAAATATATGTAAATGTATTTTTTATTTTAAATATGTTTTCGTTTTTAACTAACAACATATGTGTTCATATGTTTTAACTTTTTGTGCAAATGGTTTCCTTTGAAGCCTGATTAGCATATTTAAACATAAAATTACAGAAAATTTTCAATACATTTTTTTTCTCCTATTTATGCGAGTAATCTACTGGCAAAGTTTCATTGTGACATCTGTAAGTTAACATTTTTACCCTATTCACCTGCAGTGTCTCGCCTTAAAACCAGTGCTCGAATTGAGGGGGGGCTGGGGGGATCCGGGACCCCCCATAAGGTATTAGGGACCTCCCATAAGAAGTAAAAAATAGAATTAGGGGGGTCCCTCAGATATTTTTATTTTAGTAAAAAATAATAATAACAAATCTGATCAAATGCATGCGATGGATACAGTAAATTTCGCGAATTGATTATTTACAATATATTTTTGTTCGCTTTAAATTGTAAACGCCCGCCCCACATCTAAAGAGTGCTGTGCGCAATGATATCGTTGATTGACAGGACTGTTTGATTGGCGCCGCTCCGTTGAAGCTAATTGTAACTTTTAAAAAATGGAGAAAGATAAACCTCCACTCGAGGTCGGGAAGAGAAAGCTTCTTACCGACTTTTTTGAGGGGTAATTGTCTCTCTTTATATCTTTCTACTTTATATCTACCCACACCATATCGGGGCTTCTGTATTCCTTGCGTAAATTGGAAACATTTAGGCTTAAGTTACTTTTTTTCCACCATTATTAATAGTCCTGGTTCTACGGGAGTGCTATAGATCTTGACGGAGATGGATAACAGTTTTTCAGCAAAGGGAACGATCGTTGTGTGCTTACTAATTTCCATTCAGAATTTGTATAAAACTTGTTTTTCATGCTGCCAGGATCGGCCACGTAAACACAAAGTTTTGGGTTTCAAAGTTCACTTTCAAAGTTCACTCTTAAAATAGCAATAATTGACATCGATTGGCATGGCATTGTTTGTTTCTGAATAAAGCTGCCTTTTTCGCTAGTCAGGGTCGTTGAATAGTTGCTGACCTACTGAGTGCTTTCCCGCCACCTACTGGACGTAACTATGTAAAAATCGCATGTGCTGAAATAGTTGAAAAATCCCCACCATATAATATCTAATAAACAAGTTTCATCTATTTAATCAAGTCTTTTGAAACCAACATTATTACCACAGTGTCACATAATCCACATTAATCATGCAGTTGTTTTTAGGTTAAAAACAACATTTGTAAATAAATCATTTTGTTGGATTTACACAACTGTTCAAAAGTCTCTTCTGCTCACCAAGCCTGCATTGATTTGATGCAAAATACAGTAAAAACAGTAATTTTTATGAAATATTATTACAGTTTAAAATAATAATATAATAAAATATTGTTTATTTCTGTGATCAAAGCTGAAAACCATCGTTTCTCCAGTGTTCATAATGATCCTTTAGATCTAAAATATAAAACTTTTTGTAGCATTATACACTACCATTTAAAAGCTTGCGGTCAGTAAGAATGTATTTTTTTTTTAAAAATGTTGGGAAATAAATTAATACTTTTATTCAGTATGGTCGCATTAAATTGATCAAAAGTGACAGTAAAGAAGTTTATAATGTAACAAAAGATCCTATTTCAAATAGAAACTGTTGTTTTGAACTTTCTATTGCTAAGAAATCCTGAAAAATAAAATAAATGTTTATTACATAAATGTTTGTTGATCATCAGATCATCATGTTACTATTAGAATGACGGATCATGTGACACTGAAGACAGGAGTAATGATGCTGAAATTTGTGAAAATTCTGCTGCCCTCTAAATCCAAACCTTTAGTAAGTAATTTTAAATAATAATTATACTGTATATATAGCCTAATATAATTATTTTTCAAGCGGTTTTAATAAATAGTGTACATTCATGCATATTATGTATAAATATATATCCCAAACACCCCCCCCCCCCCAGGAAAAAAAATTGGGGACCCCCCATAAGACTTGACTCAATTCGAGCACTGCTTAAAACAAAATAAAAAAAAAGTCTGATTAATGTCATGATTTCTGATCAATATTTAGAAAGAAAAATGAAATGGTAATAATGTAAATTTCTTTAAGTTTTAACATTTTAAGTATTTATTTATTTAGCATTTTTTCCATGGACCCCCTACAATTGTTACAACAATATTAGTTCCCTGAAGTTTAAATATTTTTTGAGGAAAAAAACTAAACATTAATTTAATAAAATTCATACAAATTTAAAATAAATTTAAATGAATTTGGAAATAAATAGTTCAAATTAACTAGAGTGCTGGGATAGAATTTTTTGAATTACATCAGATGTTATGCATAAAATAATTGCAGAATTATAGAGCAAAATTGTAGAATTTCTGTGCCTTGGTTCATTCGTGACTCTATACTAATAAACTCTCGCATGCTTTAAAACAGCTTTTCCGTCTCTGGTTTAGTAGCTTTAATGCATGTTGGCCGCACTCACACGTTCATGCTTTCCTCTTTGTCCATATATATTTCTGTCTCTCTACTCTGCTGCTCTCAGCTGTGTCTACTCGATTGCTGTCATTGTTGTCTCTTTACCTTTCTCAACTCCCGTCCCTTCTCTCTCGTCCTGTCCTCATGTTCCAAACGCTGCAGGACTGAGATGGAGTTGTATGCCAGTCTCCCGCGGAGGTACTCCACACTTCCATCTCCGCTGTCTAACTCTATACTGTCTTTGCTCATCTAATGTCTCATTCTGCTAAGTGATCTTACATTGCTGACGATTTGGGGTGGGCTGTAATGTTTAAATGGACATATTTTTCAATTGTAAAATGATTTGTAATTAAAACATTCCCATTTTTAAAACCAGTCAAGAAAAGAAATGGAAATGATATTAAACCATGTAATATTGCATTTTCAGATGTTACACAACAGTTATAAATAAAATCTGTCTTTGTTTTCTCTTTCAGCTCCAACAAGCGTAAATCCATTGATGACAGTGAGATGGAGAGCCCGGTGGACGATGTCTTCTATTCGGGACGTTCTCCTGCCCCGGGAGCGTCCCAGCCCAGCGGCTGGCCCAATGATGTTGATGCAGGTACGGTCACTTTACCCAGAAGCCCTCTGGCTCTTCACATGTCCCACCTGAGAAACGTATACATTTCTTTATATTTGGTGCTTCGCCAATGAAATTCTACATAGTCAACGTACACACCGAAATGATGTTGACGTGAATGAAGACAAGGCTGTGAGGAACCGGCGTTCAGTATTGAACGAGCCGGACAATTGACCCATGGCTAAGCCACGCCCTCAAACGCGATGAGCCAATCACAGTGCGCAGCTAAGCCAGCTAAGCCACTCTCTGCTTCTACATCCATTGAAATGCATTGGAGTTAGTCAGTTTTCATTCGTTTTTCTTGTCATGTTCATGGGGTTAGGGTACATGCGCTAGGTTCCCGAGAGGCTGGGCGACGGTGTGTATTTCTTTTACCCTGTCCCAAGCCACATCTCAACAGAGATACGTGTCTGCTCTGGATTAAGTTAAGCGGTAGACCACAACACCAACTAAACGTTGATAAATTAAGCTTAACTGATCCAAGTTAAGTCAACAACGTATTTGAACATTATCTTTAAAATCTCTTAACATAACGTTAGGCTAACAAGTTAACGTTAGCTTCTAGCTGCGTTGTACATCATGTCACTTAACTTCATTAAAGTATCTGTAAATATCGGGGATAATTAACAATGTTGTGCTGAATGATTCATGTAAATATTGTAGCACCAAACGGTGATGCAACGATATGTGGTTTATCACGACCTGTACGTTTTTGCTTTTCATCGACCTTCTCAACAATAAAATTATTTATATAACCCTCCATTGTATATTTAAGGCCCTTTAGGTGACTTCGAGATGATATATAATCTAAAAATCACCAATTGCCTCCTGTGAAATGTCTCCAAATGTGACAGCTGCCATAGCGCCTGTCCCCGAATGTTGACGGTTTGTCCGAGTGAGTGGAGGGGGCGTGGCTTAGCCATAGGTCAATTGTCCATCAACGGCTTATTTATTGTTCTTGTCAAATGAAAAGACGTCTAGTCTGTCAAAGCTCGACAATCGGATCCAATTGGACTCATTTTTGATCAGTACATTCACTGAATAAGTGGACACAAGGGTTTTGTGAAGGGCCAGACGTTTCCTTTTATACATCAACCCATTAATCTCTCTCACTCTCTCTCTCTCTTTTTCTCTGTGCCTGCCTAGCATATTGCTATACTTCTATAGACCACAAGAATAAATAAGATTGGGACAAAAATGCAACATTAGCCGCTTTTCCACAGTCAGGCCAAACGCTTCTCATTGCTCAACGGCTCCGTTCTGTGCCGATCCGGCCCACTTGGTACGGATATGGTTTCATTTTCCACTCTGAGGGACTCAAACTGGCAGCCATTCAACAGACTAGTGACCAATCCTGAGTGGCGACGTCACTACACTCATTTACCAGCACAGTTTGTAATCGTGCCGAACCAAGCTCAAGTGAATGTATAACTGGAACTGGAACTGGTACTTATCGTTCTTAGAACCGTTCGGCCTGAAGGTGGAAAAGCTGCCATTCATGCAATTGGATTGATAGAAGCATCTCTCTGTTAATGAATCTGTTTGTTTGTTTTGTTTTTTTGGTGCTCAGCTTAATAAGTCTTAAAAGCACGTACAATCACCCTCTAAATGTTAATTCATGTGTGCATGTAATGATCTCACAGAATTAGGGCTGAAAAATAAAGTTTGTATGTAATATTTCCTTATTGACACTAAAACATTAGCGGCAAGCATTAAAAAAAATGTTTTTAAAGTATAATAATTTAAAAAAAAGTTAGATTAGAAATGTTCTTAATTTTTTGTGTATCTTGTTAGTTATGACATTTAAAAGGTGAATTAACTCAAAACAAATATGAAAAAGATGGTTATAAAAATATATTTTCACACATTTAGTCAGATCTTACCATATTAATGAGACCGATTTACCCTATCAAAACACACTTTTGATTATTTTGGTGTCCAACACAAATGGTAAATAAATGTTAAATATTTCAGATAAATAGTCAATGCTTGAAAAACAAGAAATTGATACAGAAAAATGTACTTTAAGGTCTTAATAAAATGCAACTAATTAAGTCAATTTCTTGTGTTTTTCAAGCATTGACTATCTATCTGAAATATTTACCATGACAACCACACTATCGGGCAAAATATCATGGGATTTGGATTTCATTCAAGCGGTGCAAGAACTCTTTTTTTTTCAGTGATGGCTAGACTAAAATTTCAACATAACTGTAGTAATTTTTGAGGAAACTGTGGATGCCATGGTATATTTTTTGTAAGTTTGAAAAGGCAGTTTTGTTGTGGTGTTCTCATCCTAAGACGTCATATACTGACGCTTTTGACATTTCGTCTACATCCAACGCACATGGCACCCTTTAGCATCAATATGAGACGCATCAATATGAGACGCAGATATATATGGGCCAGAAGGCGCCTCCTAGTGGTGTAACCCTAACCCTACCCCAGACCTAAACCTACCCATAACAGAACAAAGCTCTGTGCCTGTTATATTGACGCATATTGGATTTAGACGAAATTTCAAAAGTGTCACTATATGACGCCCTAGGATGAGAACGTGTTGGTATCCTCACACCAGACCATAAAACATGGACCATTCCCTCAATACATCAAAGCCATAAATAATCACAACTGTTGCTGTGCTCACGCCACAAACCGAAAACTCTGCCATTTTATATTTAATGTTCAAAATACATTGGCTGCACCCCATTTCGCATTCTTGTACTGGGCAGAATTTGCTGAGAAAGCTTCAACATACGTATGCACACTTCATACATTCATCAGAAACAGATTCAACCATCTACACCAAAAATAAAGGTTCTAAAAGCGATGCCAAGATTCCATGGATGTTGAAGGTTCTTAATGGAACCATAGATGCCAATAACGAACCTTTATTTTGAAGAGTATGGACCCCTTCGCCATACTATTTTTGAAGTGAATTTTGAAATGATGTGAGCTGTGATGCAGCCAATGCTCATTTGATGTCCTTAAATGTTCGCTGCTGCTGATTGGATGGTTTGTGGGATGAGTGTGCAATACTCTCTTTGACCTCATGTATATGATGTGTATTAATGCTGATTCAACATCGGTCTCCCATCTGTCCATGTGATGTGATCTCAATCTCTCCCTCTCTCAGTCATTGTTAACTCTATTCTTTTCCCTTGTTTGGGTTTTTCAGTGCAACACCATTTGGCCAGTATGCAGGAGAGGAAGATAAAACACGAATCCGATGGCGTGCAGTTTCCTTACCATGGTTAGACCACATTACCCTCATATTATATATGATTGATGTATATACCACACACACACACACACACACAAGTGTATGCAAATGTTGTCTTTCTCTTCTCTTTCAAACTCTCTGCTGCATCACACACACCTTCTCTCTGTTGTTCCTGGTGATCTGAGGTGGCGGGTGCCTTGTGGTCTGTGAATGTGCTTTCGTTTTGTTTTGTACATCAGAAGTCTCTGTGCATCCATTGCTTGTGTTGCAGAAGTCCAAATCCTGATTTTCACATAACAGAAACACTTACAAACGTGGCTATTGTGTTGCATACAACAGCGGGTCTTTCCAGATATTTACTTGGCACTTTTGTTTGTTTCTTCTCCATGCAGGATTTATTTGAATTAGTCTTTGTGCTAAAAGGGGTTTACATGCTATAAGCAATATTTCAGCTGTTTATTCAACGCGCCCATGATATCTCAAAGCTGTGAGTCCTGAAACATACTCTATACAAGAACGTGAATGCGAACACAAGCTCAATTTCACACATCCACAAATTGTTGGACACAACACCATGTACAAATAAAGTCTTAAAGGAGTAGTTCACTTTTAAAAAAAAAAAACTTTTGCTGATAATTTACTCGCCCCCATGTCATCCAAGATGTCCATGTCTTTCTTTCTTCAGTCAAAAAGAAATTAAGGTTTTTGATGAAAACATTCCAGGATTTTCTCCATATAATGGACTTCAATGGGAACCAAACGGTTCAAGGTCCAAATGAGAGTTTCAGTGCAAACTACAAACTGTTCAAAGGGCTTTAAACGATTCCAGACGATGAATAAGGGTCTTATCAAGCGAAACGATCGCTCATTTAATAAATAAATACAAGTTAAGTTTTATAAGCACAATTGGTCGCCTTGCTCTGTTCTGTGATGCGCGTTCGTGACTCTCCTGTTCATCAAAATGAACGAATCTTTTTCCGAGTCAATTCGTTCGTTTCTTTCGTTGAATGAACCAAATGACTCGGAAAAAGATTCGTTCATTTTGATGAACGAGTTCGAACTGGACAGTCAAAAACGTGCGTCAAGGCGAGCATTTGAGCTTATAAAACTTTAACTTTTTTATTTATTTATTAAATGACCGATCGTTTCGCTTGATAAGACCCTTATTCATCGCCTGGTGTCGTTTAAAGCCCTTTGAACAGTTTGCAGTTTGTACTGAAAGTGTCTTTTGGACCTTGAACCGTTTGGTTCCCATTGAAGTGCATTATATGGAGAGAAATGCTGGAATGTTTTCATCAAAAACCTTTTTTTTTGCATTTTTTTTTTTCGACTGAAGAAAGAAAGACATGGACATCTTGGTTTTGATAACTTACTTCACTTTCTGTATATTTCCTACTTGTTAGATAGGGCAACTGAAATACAATTATTATCTTATTTTTATTATTATTGTGTCCATTTTTCTCTATTATCCCAGAACAAAAAACAAGTCCAGCTTTCATTTTTTTTTTAAACTCGCTGCATATTCTGTTTCATCAGACCGGGCGATTCAGATCGACTTTAATGGCACAGACATTGGAAGGTAACCCTATCACCCCTTTGAGTACGCAAAAACGGATTACGCAGGAGTAGCCACAGTAATGCAAGAATGCGAGCTATGTATGTACAACGGGAACTTGTGTACTTGCACAGAGTATGTTCTGGCCTGAGGGTCCTCTTCATCTAATCACATTCACTGCCGCCCACGGTCATGATAAACACACAGGCGCACAGATCCTAATCTAGGGAAACATGGGTAAATCCCACCAAAAAAAGCCAGCATGCTCAGGTGCTCCTGATGTCATGGGAATACACAACACACACACACACCAGAGCTCTGGTCCAGATGGCTCCACAATGTGTCGACAGCATTGGGAGCTGCTGGGTTACAGAAGACATCTGTTACGCCAATGATGGCGTGGTGGTGGCGCTCCGAGCGCGCTGTGAGTGTGTGAGGGTGTGAACTGCGCTACGCTTCAAAGGTGATTCACTACCTGAATGAGGCTTTGGCAACTCTGCAAGGTGACGGTGTCATTTATCATTAAATCTGGCGTCGCCCGGGGTACAAGAGCCGTCTGTGAACCCATTCACACGCCGGATCGCTTCCTAGCGCCCTGGGCTGACACGGATATCATCTCCTCCTATTTTTCATTCTCTCGCACTCGCTTTCACCTTGTTAGACTGTGGCGCTTTGTCTGTAAACATCTGTTTGTGACTGTTTCGAGAGGTCAGGCAGTGAACGGGGGTTCCCACGGGCATGAGAGACCTAGAAATTCGGGCTAGAAGAATTAGGGAAACACTTGGACGTTTCTGTGGTGGTTGTAACCTTTTAAAATGCCGTGAAATATTTCATTTCATGACTGAAAATATTTTCGAAAAATCA